TTCCCTACATTAAGTTAACTGAAATACTTATTTCAATATTGTGCTTAAACCATCTCAATTAACATGTTTGCTTACTGCTGTTTGCATTATTGGCTTTTCCAGGAAGTTCCAAACCATGGGTTTCATGTTGGAATGAAACTGGAGGCTGTTGATCTGATGGAACCTCGCCTGGTATGTGTGGCTACAGTAACTCGCATTATCCATCGTCTTTTGAGGATACACTTTGATGGATGGGAAGATGAATATGATCAGTGGGTGGACTGTGAGTCCCCAGACCTCTATCCAGTGGGATGGTGTCAGCTAACTGGATATCCACTACAGCCGCCAGCGCCACAGTGTAAGTTCCTGTCTTGTCAAGAACGTACCAATTGTCCTTGTTCTTCAGTGATGGTTTTTCCTAACTCCATCCTTTTCAAGTCAGGTCACCAGCCGTAACAAAAATAGAACAAGGTGTTGCTGAGGCTTAGAATTGCACAGTTCTGATCTTTTCCACCTTGACTTTTAAAGTACTTCTGGGTGTTTTGTGGCTACTGTTTCTTCTGATTCCAGAAGATGCTTGTTTGATGCAGGGAGAAAAACCTTTTACTTACTCATTGGTTCTAGATAATATCACTGAGAATTTCTGTTGCTTTAAGATTGCAAATATACATGCTTTACATACTGAATTTGATGGAACTCATCATGTGCATTGCTGTTCATGTGCAGAAGTATTTATGTGATAAGGCTGTATCTTTAGTACATCAAGACCTGTCCTGTCAGGTCAAGTTATATGATAATAACTGATATCTCTATTTTGAAAACTGTTAGTGTATAATGAGAGGGCGACAGTAGTTTCTGTTAGTAGTTTAATGGGAGGCTTTTCCCACAAGAAATGTATTCTGCCTTTGTTCAGTCACTAGGGGAAAAATCCTGTAACTGTGTAACAGCTTTGATACATTCTGAAGTGTTTTCCCAAAGTTTAAATTTTCATTGTGAACTTTAATTTAGAATTCTGAATCTTCTTGCAGCGTCACGAGACAGCCAGTCAAGTTCCTCAAAACAGAAGAAAAAAGCTAAATCCCAACAGTACAAAGGACATAAAAAAAGTGGGTGACAAAGTAGTGTTTGCACTTTATCTGTTGTTTTAAAAGCTTGTGGTCTCTCCCTAAGTGCCTATTCGATTTGGGAATGTTTGTGTGGAAACAGGTGTTATGCTTAAAGGTGCAGTATGCCATAAAAGGAACTTTTTCATTGAGAATAACCCATTTTTGTAACTAGCAACAGGGTAGATTTTGCTGCTAATAATGTATATTAATTGTAGGTGGACAAGTGTTACAATATTTTTGGTATTCACACAGAATTTCAGTTTAATAATACATTGACTATGCAAGTGGACTGTCTTACACAGGATACTCAGGTATCAATTAACACACTTTTACCTCTGCTCTTTGTAACACAGGTGTAGCAATAGGAACCGAGTTACTTGGGTCAGAAAGAATGAGATGTAGAAAACTGAAGTTATCATCTGGCTGGTTCATTTTTTAAACAAAAGTGACTTTTTTTACCTTTTTTTTTTTAAGCTGAAACATCTGTGGGAATTGTATGTATATAAGACTTTGATATTATTTTCAGAAGCAATAAATAGCACTGCTGGATGTGACTATTCTTGTCTCAGTAGAACATAGTGATGACGCATTTAAGAATCTTGAAGTATTCAGATTCTTTCCATAGTAATTGTTTCCTTTGGGATCAGATTATCTTCAAAATTCACAACCAGTTTGAATTTGCACAAATGCACATTTTGCATTTCTTCATATTTTTATTTCCATGACTGTTGGATTAAGCTGAAAATCTGTTTTGTATGAGTAAAATACAGGGAGTAGAGACAGTCAGTGGTGGGACCTTCTCCCACCATTCTTCTCAGGAAATCAGGTGCATCTTTATTTTTCTCCTCTAAGCAATATTACAGTTTCATATGGCAGTTTTATTCCAAAGGTTCTCAAGTCATTTTTCCAATAATCTGACAGTTTGAAAGGCCTCTTGAGTCAAGAGCAACAGCAACTTGACAGCTACTGTACAGCTCTTGTATGCGCAAGAGATCATGAGACTATAGACTTACCCAGTGTTCTTAAGAGCCAAACCATTTTTAAATGATGTTTACCTCAAGTTCTTACAATATCTTTTGTTTTAAGAAGCACCAATTACAACTCAGGGAGTTTTTTTCTGCTACATAAGAATGAAGTTTGTCCTTACGGAAGCAGATTGTCTACTTCCAGACTGCTTAACTATGTATTACATTTGGAGCATCAACTCATTATGCTCACTCATTTTCTTGATGTTTTCTTGAAAAGAAGGTGCGTTATTTTATACTGCAGACATCTGGGCAGATCAACTGCAGAAAACTCAGGTTTCTGTGAGCTTTAGCTCTCTTTCATCTATTCCCCTTATTTCAAGTCTTTCCATCTTTGAACAGTAGTTTGTTGTAGTAAAATGAATTCACTGATTTCTGTTCTCTCACAGATGTAGCTGACAGGGAAGGGTTGATTGGCCTGGGATGGGAAAAAAGATACCCTGTTTCTGAGTAGGAGCCGAAGCTAAACTGTGAGATAGGTCTGCCCTAGCTTCCTGCAGTGATTCTGAGAATTGTGTCAAATGACATTAAAACTGTGGTTTTATCTCATGCCTTCCATGTGATAGAAGGATTGACTTAAATGAAGAGCTGTGCTGCAGTTGTGTAGAACTAATGTGAGGAATTAAAACCCTTGTCTTCCCAGTCCATTTGTGAATGGATCTCTTAAAGCAATCTGTAATCACTAGTTATTGCAGAAAGCAACCTTTGCCATTGTGTTCTTCGGACATAAAAAGAAGTTTACCAGTGAGTGCCACAGGTAAAGCAGGTGTCTGGGAAGTTCTTACGACCTCCTATTGTGCCTCAGTGTACTGTTTCCTCTTTCTGCTATTAGAGGAAATAAACAGTAAAATCCAGATCCTCTTCAGAATCTTGCAGTGGCATTTTCTAAATAGAATTAAGGTACAGAAGGACTCAAGCTGATCTGAGAATATCTCTCTGAAAAGCTGTGAGTGCTGTTGCCTTAAGCTAGGGAAAGGTGCCTATGTCACTAATGGCCTTTGTGTAGGACCTGTTCTTGGATAATCCTGGAGTGTCTGAGCAAATTGTTAGCAAGCTCTGCTGGACTGTCCTGCTCCTTACCTCATCCCTCTCCTTCCACCTAATAACTCTGCAAAAAATTCTTGGTATCTCTTACAGTAAGTGGAACACTAAGACTGGCAAGGAAATTCCTCTTGTCTAGTGCCATAGGAAGATTTATTCTAGGGGAATTTGTTCTTCATTTCTCACTATCTGAAGTAAATTTGGGCTGTGGAAACAAGCCCAAGAACTTCCAGTGATTTTCTGGACAGTTTACTCAATACTAAGAAATCTACTTAATCATCAGAAGATGAGAGAACAAGGTCATGAAAAGTTATAGTTGGCAGCCTCCTACGTGTTTGTTGTTTTCCTAAGTAGGTTATGGCAACTGCAGTGCTGAGTCACAGGAAACAATACTGAGAAAATGTTTTCTGTAGCCTTTTATTGTTCAGCACTTGTAAATAAAAAATAGTCTTCTTTTGAAAAGGATTTCAGTCATAAAACTGTATAATGCAGCAGTAAAATGGAAAGTAACCACAGATTATTAACAGGAACCTCTCTTAATTAAACTAGATTATTTTTAGCACAGAGAGGTGTTACTTCCACATATTTTTCTCAGGTACTCACAATGTGCTCCAGAATGTCTTCAGGTCATTCTGCTGTGGATAATGATGAAAACTTGTAATGCAGTATTTCATCTCCTTGCTGAGTCCATTGCAAAGTGAGTAGCTTGTATTGAATGTGAAGCAGAACTGATAATAGTGAACTCTGCTGTAATGGGATCATGGTAAAAGAGAAGGAAGTTCAACTCCTATTCTACTGTGCCACTACAGGAACTGGTATAACCAGCAGGATTAACGCTCACGTAACACTGAATTTTTCAGTGAACAGTCAGAGTTACCTAATGCACTTTAACCCAAGCGTTTATTTTAGTTTGACTTGATGTTTAGAGAGGAAGATACCAGTTGGGAAGAAACCTGTCAGTTTGTCCAGCCCACCCATGACAGGTGAGGTGCAGAGGAGCTTCTCTGGTGATGACGAGTTGACTCCTCCTCCATATCGAACCCTTCCAGCACAGACAGCCCCGGAGGCCTTCCAGCCTCCCAGGACTAGCCAAGAGTTCAGTCCCAGCCTCAAAACAGGTAACTGGTCACATCAGTCTCTGTTACTGCAGAGGGAAATGATGGACAGGGTGGGGAACTAAACATGGTCTAGCATGTAGCATGCTGACTCATCAAATCTCTTTTTCCTTTTTGTTCTTTTCTTTAAGTTTTGGTTGGTTTTCTTTTTTCTGTTAGAGAGCTTTTCATCCTCACTGACGCCCCATGTCACTGAATTAGTCACAGGAAGGTGTTGCAGCAGGGTTAGAGCTTCATAGCAGGTCATATTGCAGGTTGCTAGGGCACAGAGGAGCTCTGCAGAGTCAGTTTCTGCAGAGTGCAAAAATGCACTCTGAAACTGAACAATAGCGTGGATTTGGGAACACTTGATCTAAGCAGGAAGTTATTGTGGATTATCTTTTGCAGAGGAAGTAACTGTAGACAGTAAGGAATGCTTTTTGCTGTTATGTCACAAAAGCAGTTATCTGGGAAGAGATCTTCAGAATGGAAGATGACTTGAAATTTTGTGTGTTACTAATACAGAAAATGCTTAGAAAATAGTTTGTCCTTTTAGAATTAGATCTTTTGCCTATTTTTGTTATAAAACCTGGTTTCGTTTAAGTATAATTGTGCATCTGTATAATTGTGCATCTTGTGCATCTGCGTCTGTATGAGTAAGCAGAGAAAAACTCTTAAATTCATTCATCAGTAATACTAAGTAAGTGGATTAAAATTTTGAGTTCATTTAAGGATAGTTTATGTGATGTAATCAGTCTTCAATTGTAGAAGTTCACTGCAGGGATCTGTTAGTTTCTTTTCTCCTCTTTTTCTAATGTATGGCAATACACTGTAGCAGCTAAACAGATTATTTCTCACAAGCATGTTTTAGAGATATGATCTGTTGGACAAATGGGATTATGTTCTTCCTGCAGGACAGTTACCAGGCTGATAGATCTAGCTTCATATTTGCTTGATTTACACTCCTGTAAACTTGCTTAAGTCCGAGCAGGATGCCAATATTGGCACAGTCTGAACAGTTCTTCTTGTCGATCTATATCTATTAACATACAAGGACACAGTAACCTGCTTGCCTCCTTTAGACCCCAAGGACAAATCTCACCTCTCCTCTGCACATCTCTCAATGCTTCTCAGGAACTCCATTTTCACTCCAGCTTGCTACTCGTGTATGTGCCCGTCCTTCAGCAGAGTCTTCAATGCAAAAGAGCAGCCTTGCTTAGGAGAGAGTGTTCTGGTGCGCTTGTTTCTGCACTTGTTTCTTCTCTTACTCCAAATCTACAGCTATTTTGCATTCATATAGTGCACAGACACACAAACTCTGAGTTTTCCATGTCACTCAATCTCTGAGTTCCTGTGAAACACCCATATTCCTTCATTTCTGACACCCAGTGCTTTCTATGATCGTTTTGGGGAACTTTTAAAGTTCTGAATTTTGGAGAGGCTGGACAAAATTACTTGTATTTGTGATGTAGCCTTGTTATTATCCAAAGGTCTTTAAGTCTGGGGAAGAGGAGGACATAACCCTGATACTGTATAATAAGTTAACATATTTGAGATCAGCTGGAATTTATTAATTGCACAGATATTCCTCTGCATCGTACACTGCCTCGCATTTTAGTAGCCATAGCAAGGATGTGGGCACATTGCAGGAAATGTTTGATTTGGAGGATTTGGCTTTGAATGGAAGTACTGTAAGATTAGTAGCAAGAGAGGCATCTGCTTTAAAGCATCTTGTGTCATGCTCATTAAAGAACTCTTTCACCTTTTGCACTGTCATAAGCACAGGAGGAGGTTTCAGTACTTCGTCTTGTGTAGTTTGCAGTGGTTTTGCTCTCTTCCTGTGCACGCATGAGTACCTCTCATCCTTGAGTCATTTGAAATGATCTTTCAAGCACTGAACTGCAACTGTTGGACAGCCTCACTTTTGAAAAGAGCCTGTAGCCAGCCTGTCAGAGGAGACTGTTCGGAGAGCCTGACCCTGCTTCTGTACGTACTCTGGACCACACTGCTCCGTTCCATATTGATGTTTGGGGTGCCGAATGACATTGCATGTAACGGTCTTCCTCTATCTCCAGGGATGTCACTGAGACTGTTTAAAAGGGGGTACCTTGTGCATCTGCATCCCTTTTACTTCCAACATGATTGGTCAGTTGACTTCCATTAGCTTTTTTTTATTCTTCTTTCAAGTAACTTTTGTTGTATAGCTGTGTAGCTAAGCTTTTCTCATGGAAGGACTGTAGTTAAAAGCTGTATAGTAAGGAGAAATGAAGCAAAGTGTTATTAAATACCTAAATGTAAGGATTTCAGTTCAAACAGCCAGAGGCAAGCCAAATTATGGAGACTACAATTACTCGTGTACCTGCAGAAGCATTCTACAGACACTGGGGAGAGAAGAAAAAGAACATGCCTGGTGGAGTTCACATTGTATCCCTGACCTGTGTGTAGCCTTTGCTTGAGGTATTAGCAGCATATTCAAGTATCCCCTTATGTGTCTTATTTAGACAGCACTTTCTTTTTTTGTCTTCCACAGATCAAGATTCTAGATCAGAATTGAGTGTAATACAGGGAAAAGAGTTTAGAAGAAGAAAAGGCAGCAAGAAACTGGACTTTGTAGGCTGGAGGAGGTGTCTATTAAAGAAAGATCTGAGGAGCACCTGCAGTATGCTGCAACTTTTGACATTTTTAGTGTCTTAATATTTTAATTTTATTTTTCTTTAGCACAAGAGTTTGTTTCAACAAGGGAGATGACATAGAAAAATAATAGAAGAATAATCAAATGGCTTGTGAGTTATTGCAGGGCTACTAGTAGCAACTAGCTAGTAACTAACTAGTACGTTATGGATTGCTTTTTTTCCCCTCACTGCATATTTCTGCATTTCCAGATACATTGATAATGCATATAAACTCTGTATTCAGAAGCTTTAATACTCTTCTCATTCATTCAGTCAGAGAACCATTATTTGTTTATAACCAACCCTTTAATGTGGGTACTGCACCTTTAAAGAAAGACGTAACATGTTTTGTTTTGCGTATTCTTTTCATTGTGCTCATATTTTGGTAATTGTCACTATTCATTAATGAAACTGGAAAAGTAGTTATGACATTGCTATTCATAACATCTTTTTTTAAGTCTTAGATCTCATTTCTATTTTATTTGTACAAAAGAAAGAAGAGAGAAGATTAAAACTACAAAAAAAAGATGTTTTGCTTGAATGAAACTTACCTTCTAGGATCTTAAAATGTTAATGATGTATAAAGAAATCTCTGTCAATGTGTTTTCTTGTTTCCTATAGACCACCGACAATAATTGGGCTAAGTAATGTGAGTTTAGATTGTATATGGCCAACAGTTAATCTTATTTTTACTTGTATAAAGACTAAATAGGAGGTAAACAGTAAAATAAGCATTGTTCTGAGCAATGGTCATTATTCCTATATTTCAACCAGTGTTTTAAAATACTAAATTCTGCAGAAAACCCTGTGCAGAATATATTACTGTATGTAGTTTGTTCAAATATGTTAATAGTAGAGCATAACTTAATGTTTCATTTATGGTGAGGAAGCATATGCTTTCTGTGGGGTACTGAGTGTTAAAAGAAGAATGCAGAATATAAGAAAACGGGAAATCTGGGATCTGTTCCCAATTTAAATATTAAGTAAAATTAAGGAAAAATTGTACTTCCTTTAAATTTTATAGATCTTTCATGTTCATCTTTAATTTTTAGTGACTTCATTGCAACTGAAGGAGGAGTTGCTAGATGGGGAAGAATACAGCTTCCTTCAAGGAGCATCTGATCAGGAAAGCAACGGATCTGCCAGTTACTACATCAAACAAGAACCATGAGGCAGCTCAGAGAAGTGAGGGGCAGAGAACTGGTGACAGGAGAAGAGCCTTTCTCCAAGACTGACTGCTTTTGCTCCCACTTCGAGGGTGCAGTTCAGGTGACTGTACCTGGGGCACTTTGCTAACTGTAGATGAGTTAGACTCAGTTCAGAACTTTTTTGGAAGGGCGGGGAAACTATTTTAGCGAAAAAGATTTTTCAATTTATTAAAAAAAAACAAAAACAAAAAACGGACACTTTTGTGTTGTATTTGAAGCTTTTGAAAGAATTTTGTAATATTTTCAAGTTCAGATTTATTGTGCATTGTTAACAAGAACTGAAATTCTAATTTTTTGGTAAGATTAAAGTTTAATTAGCGTGATTGTGGGAAGCGGTTGGAGGAAGCTATAGGTGCAAATACAAAGGAACTGTCATAACAAATGAACCTTTTTGGTACAAGTTGGGGAGACTTTTAGACTCTTGTGAACTGCACTGGTCACGCCTCTGTTTTTTGGTTTATTTGTTGTTTGGTTTTTTTAATTGTGAAAATAAGGCATTTAAGCCCTAATTTAGAGGCATAAATTGTATGTGGAAGATAGTCCTGTGAAGTTCTACTCAGTGAGTAGCCCCAGTTGCAACGGAGCCATCACCTGAGGAAGATTTTAACTTTTCAAGATGTTTTTATTTAGTTTAAAATACTTACATACATATATATATATATGTATATGTGTGTGTGTGTGTGGATATATATATATATGTATGTATATGTAAGATTTTTGTGTTTTCAAGTTCCTTAGGGTCTGATTCAGTGCCCATCAATATCAGTAGCCTTGTCTCCAATGACCGCAGTGGTCATTGGATTGGGACTATGAAGCTCTTCTCCGTACATGAATGTCTGTAGACTTGGAATGCTTCAGCAAATGTTTACAGAGCCCTATGCCAAACTGGAACTTCAGCAAATTCCCTTATTTGGAAGATTATTTTTAGCTGTAAGTTTAGACTAAAGAAGTAATTTAGACAAACAGTAGCTCAGGCCTCCCTTGGTCGTGGGAAGGAACTTCTGAGTATTCCTTCTGCTGATTTTTTTTCTCTGTTCAGAATAACCTAGCTGTTTCCTTACCATTTTGAATATTTATTTGTGAACATTCAAAACTGATGTTCCACGTGGTTTCGGGTGAGCTAAAAGGAGCCATACATAGTGGATGAAAAAGAGTTCCGTTCTGCACAGCCTGCCATATTCCTTTCTTGCTGCAATAGCATAATATTGAAGGTGAGACTTGAGATCAGTGTGTAAATCATATACTGTCTAGTATATAATTCATAAACTGGATTTGCTTATTGCCTGGAATCCTTATGTCTCACTTCTAGTATCCCCTTAGCCCCACCTGCTTAACTGTCCAGATTTTATAAAGGCAATGTAAAAGGGTGAGGACAACTACCAGTGTAATACAGAGTATTTTAGCGTGAGCTCTTAGTTCAGATTCCATCCTTCCATGTTTTTTTAACCTTTATACTTTTTGTATCTGATGTCATTCATGGTGTTGATTAATGAAATGGTTCATCAGCACTGCAGAGCTGTGACTGGGAAAATGTGCATCAAGAGCTTTAGCTTTTACCAGTAAGGTTCATTAACTAAACTCTCAGGAATTAACTGCGTATGTTCTACAAGTGCTTCTGGGTCTTCGCAGGTCCCCTTTCAGAGCAGTACAATGATCATCTGACTCTCGACCGCAAATTAGGGCTTAAAAGAGAAATGAATCAAAACGATTAACATCTGTGTTCCTACAGCCTAAGAAATGCTTTAAGGATATGAACCCACAGAGCCCCAGGAGACCATTTTTGTATATTGTTGTTTAAGCTTAAAAAAAAGTGCATAGAAAGTTGAAAACCAGCAATTTGATTATTTTCTCAAATATTGCTCTAACTTTGGGTACATAGTATTGGTGATATGCACAGGTTTACCTCATTCTATGCAAGAGGGGTTAATTATGTAAAGTTTTGTATTTACTACTGGAAGTAAAACTGTCCTGTATAGCGTAGGAATGTCTGGAATTCTTTTCTCCCTTACTGGTAACATTTCTTAAATAATGACCCCTTTTTACCAACAGCTTATTATATTGACAGAATCTGGTCATCTGATGATGAGTATCTGTAACTTCAGATGGTGAAGACATTTTAGCTCTCTAAAATAGCCATAAAAAGGACTTTGTCCAGCTTGGTAGACTTCAAATACATTCTCTCAGCTTCTGACCCATCCACAGCTTTTCTTTTGAACAGCCTGGATTGGAAGAGTAGGATTAGAGACCATTGCAATGACACTTTGAGCCTTGACTAACTTTTTCTTTGCCCCCTGTGTTCTCAATTTTAACCTACTTTACAATCCAGCTCTGCAAGCATCGATTTGGTTTGGTAAGTACATCACTATTGATCTTTATTGTTTTTAATGAAGCAACTTGCAGATTGTCCCAGTCAGCTGGACCAAGGTTGGCGCAGTCTTGCTTTCTTCTCTCATCTTCAGCAGAAAAACTCTTGCATTCATTTGTGTTTTATTATGTGGAAGCTCAGGCTGCTAATGAGGTACATTGCCAAGTCTCTAAACCTTGGGCTTTGGTGTATTGCCCAGGCTTGTACCTGACTTCTAAGTTACAGTCTTCAAATGTCAAGAGGGAAAACTAGTGCTTACATTGAACACACTTCCTGTGATGGAGGAATGTAAGAATCAGATTTGAAGTCTCTCAGTCTTTATAATGTTCTTTAAAAATAGGTATTTTATTCACTAAACACTAAAGGATGTGAGTTGATGCATTTTTGGATACATGTGTAGCTTCAGTGTGAGTTGGGTGAAATCTCTCTTGTGTTTCTGAATTCCAAATATACCTTAATTGTCAAGTACAGTGAAACCTGTCCAAAGCAAACCATGTAAGGAACCAATTGAAGTCAATTAGGAGAGGATTAAGGAGAACCCAAGCAAAATTATGCTGGGTATTTAGAGTGGTCTCTTCAAGGAGCGGGCTGCCGGCTGTGGAACCCATGGAGTAGGCTTCACTGTAGTTAGCAACATGGCTCTTAGTGTTTTTATCTTCACTTTAAGCCATGTCACTTGGCTAGAAGAGCAGCGAAGTGTTGGACATCTGAAATCTTCAATGGGGTCAAACTAATTTCAGGATTTGGCATAGCTGGTCTTCATACCCCTGCGGTAGCGCGAGTTGTACCTTACTTTGCGGCTACCCTTCTGTTACTGCTCAGAATCCTTCTGCTGATCTTTGGGGTTTATGTTACTTTAAATAGAGGTCTTTTAACCTTTTCCTTGCTGCATCTGAGGAAAGCTAAAGCAGTTACCGATTCCTTGTTCTACGGATACTAACACGGGTTTCAGTGTTTGTTTGGTTTTTTTATTGTTGTTTTTATGTGATGTGAATACCCTCTCCCGTCAATATTTGTACGATGGTGCTAATATATTTGGTAACAATCCTTTATTGGGAAGGGATTTTAAAAAAACTGTGATTTAAACTGAATTTTTCTTCCTTTTACTTTTCGTATTTAAAACAAAAAGCCACAGCCATTTATACCAGAAAAAGGCATCAGCTTTGGCCCCTGGGAAAACGTTGGGGGCGGGAATCAAGATTAAATGGGGTTTTTACATCATTTCTGTATGTATTTGATATATAGATCAATATCTGTACAAATTTAATCTTTTATTTTCTTGGTAATTTGTGTGGTCAATGAGAGAGTATTTAAAGCTTTCTCATGTGATGTACATAACTAAGTGAAAAAACTGCTTTTGGAGAAATTAATGTTCCTTTCATTTTTATGAGACTGCAGATTTTCAGCATGGATGTGAAAAGCATTAAAATTATAACTTTGTGTACAAGATGAAAATAATTCACTAAATTTGCCTTTTTTACACAAAATAAAAATGATAAAAAGTCTTTTGCTGAATAGTGATTTTTTTATAGAATGTACCCTTTGGCACGTACATAAACATGTTTCAGCTTGCTTTCTTCAGTGGTTTTAACCTGATAGAGGGAATGTTTAGATGAGCTCTTAGGCAGAAGCTCTTCCCTGTGAGGGTGCTGAGGCGCTGGCACAGGGTGCCCAGAGAAGCTGTGGCTGCCCCATCCCTGGCAGTGTTCAAGGCCAGGTTGGACACAGGGGCTTGGAGCAACCTGCTCTAGTGGAAGGTGTCCCTGCCCATGGCAGGGGTTTGGAGCTGGATGAGCTTTAAGGTCCCTTCCAACCCAAACCAGTCTGGGATTGATTCTCTCCTAAGAGAATGCAGATTAAAAAAACTAGCTATGACTGCTGTAAGTAACCAAGTTACTCCAAGCACAGGGATCACCGACAAGGCTCTGAGCACAAGGTAAGGCTGCTACTGAGACGGTGGCTTTAGGTAAGCACTTAGTAGTGAGCAGGCTTTGTGCGTTGGCTCCTATTTCACAGCTGGTATTAATAGATGTGTAGGGAGGGAAATTTTGTCACAGGGAAGCACCCATTTTTCTTCTATTTCAGTTCTGCTGTGGTGGGAATAGCTCAAGCATCCCTTCAGCCCTCCTGCTGCAAGCTGGCTTTGTGACTAATGTATTTCAGTGGCCTCCAAAGCAATTTTTGTTGCTTTGCAGTCAACCAAAGTCACTGGTTTTTTACTGATATGCCTGTATGTGATAGTTGTTGGTGTTAACTAATCCTTCTACAAGAGGAAAATACTGAACAACTGAGTCAAATGACTTGTATGTGAATACCTGAACACAGCAGTCTGTGTGTTACAGTGAACACACCACAACAGATTACTTCATATGAATTTATTTGCCAGTGCTGAAAACAACTAAGATAACCGTGGTTGCTCCCAGGTAGTAGCTGGAATGAGATGATGCATTTAGAAGGCACAATTCATTGTGGCAACTGAATTCACTCATAGATCCAGTCATGTGCACAAGACTTGAAGTCAACGAGCTCAGCAGGTTTGAACCACAGGTTGATCTCCTTCTGCGCGCTTTCCACGGAGTCACTGCCATGGATGATGTTTCTGTGGAAGGAGACAAACACATTGTTCATATAAAAACACACTTCATCAACCTAAGAAGTTGTCCTTAAGCAAAACCATGAAGCATCTACAGCTGCAAGGCTGCTACTGCAGCTACAATGCTCAGACACCCCCTCTTTAAGAGCTACTGCAGCCTGGCAGCGTGACTACAGCTACTGCACTACA